CCCCCCCCCCCCAATTAAAACTAAAAAAATGTGACCTGGGCCGTGCACCCCGTCCGCACCCCCTATTCCTTTACCCTTTGAACGTGCTGCTCCGTAGCTATCGTCAACTACAATAAAGTATTCATTAGTTGGAGGCCAAGTCAGTGTGTAACGACACGCTAGTGTTGACAGGCCCTAGCCCCTATGGAAATGATTTCCTTAAGTTCACTGACATTAGCGCTGGAGGGAAGTGTGCGAATGATATTAAGAGAGCTAAAAAGAAAAAAGGACCCTTGCAATTTAGCTCTGCCAGTGTTTCAACAAAGAGAGGTTAGTATACATCTTTTATATCTTTAACGTTCGAGATAGTGAAGCTACTCATTGGTTTGAAATTTCAGGCCTATTAAGAAATACACATTCTTTTTATGTCAATATAGGCGTTCGGAAAACATATCTATCATGGTAAGACATGCATTTTACATGAACCACGTAAAGAACCATACATTTTATTAAATATAACACTGCTCTTGAATAGTTTAATGAGTTAAATTTCTATTAAAATCTTCTATGATCTTGATAGCTAATTAAAGAGTTTTAAAAACAATAAAATCATTGCTCTTTTACAACACGTTAAATAATGTGTATAATATATATATATATATATATATATTTATATATATATATATAATATATATATCTTTCTAACCAAAATGTTAGAACACACCCACCGTTTACCCAACACACCGTTACTTATGTGTGTTGTTGGTGGGCATGTTAAATCTTGGTTTTATAACGAGCAAACAAAAAAAAGGGGGGGGGGAGGGGATACTGTTCAGGTTAAAAGCGTTTGTCGCGGCTCTATAATTGTACGTTTATCAAGCCGTTATCTGCATATAGGAACAGAATCTGTTTAACTGTACCGTAGCTAGGGTTAGTGCCACCCGGGGCGTGACACTCTCTCTCCATGACAAAAAAATCTGCTTATGGCCCAATGGGAAGCTCTCTCCCCCCCCCCCCCCATTAAAAAAAAAAAATTATATATATATATATATATATATATAACACGACACAGTCGACACTGACTCCCCCAGATTAGACAAACGTTTTATCTATTTAACATTAAAATTAATGTGTTACAAAATAATGATAGGTTTTGATCAACTCTTATGCCATCGATTGGGGTGAGCTTTATGGTGGGTTTTGTTATATACATTTTTTAAAATTATTTCAACCAACAGGCTGGTTTGTGCAATTTCTTATTTCATTATTTCAAAAGCTTTGGTAATTTTTTAAAAATGTTTTTACAAAAATAAAAATATAAACCAGAGGTAGGATTTTATTTGTTTTGATTTTTTTTTTTATATTGAAAACGAACGTCTAGTGCAGGGTGAGCATTAATTTATACTAGACGTAGCCCGCCAAACATTGGCGACAGCAATGCGTGAACTTGCCATCTACTAAGGTTACTTGACAAAAACGTGAAGTTACGTACATTTAAGAATGCCAATTTTGCTACACTCCCTCCCCCACCCCCTTTTTTCATGATACCTCACTGCACATTTTACATTTCACGCCCATTAACTATAGCCGACCCGCGGCTTAGCATACGCCGCGAGCTTGGCTGGCAATCGAGGGTGGTGCAGGGGGGGGGGTAGCTCCACCGTAGTGCCCATTTCTCGAGACCAACGATGGGCAGGTAAGGGAAGGGAGGGATGCGCCTTGCTTGCTATGGCATATATTTATATAGCATGCGTCTAGTTTGACCTTTCTTGTGTGCCCTACTTCTGGCGAATAAAATATACATACTCTTACTTGTGTACAAGAAATGATGTGAAGTATTTTAATCACCCAAACTTTGACAATGATATCACTGAACAATATCAGACGTCACAGCCAATATTATCTAGCGCCCGTGTTTCGAGATTAATACTTATTTTTAAAAAAAACACACCATCAAGTTATTTTTTTTTTTTTTACAGAATTATAAGGAAATGTGGCGATGAATGTTGTAAGCATTACCAAAGTTGTACCAAAGTTTTACCAAAGTAATATCAACGTAATACCAAAGTAGTACCAAAGTAATACCAAAGTAGTACCAAATTTGTACCAAATTAATACCAATGTAGCATCAAAGTTGTACCGAAGTGTCTTTTTAGAGCCATCCATGCATGAACAATACTTTTTATATCTTTGATAAAGCTTTTCTTGGAAGGAAGTGTAAGGAATGCCATGTAAAGTAATATAAGCAAAGGATGGTATAAGAATGTAAGAAAGCCATTGTTTGGTCATGTAAGGCAGCATAAGGCAGTGTTATGACGACACTGTAAGACAGTGTAAGGAATGCAGTGTAAGAAAAGTTATGATCGGTAATGTAGGGCAATGCAATGTAACGTAATGTAAGGAAGGCAATATTCGGTCATCTAAGCCAGTGTAAGGATGACAAATTGACAAATTTAGTCAATTTAAGGAAGACGTAGAACGGCAATGTAAGGTCAAGTAAGAAAGGCAATGTAAGGATCACAATGTTCGGTCTTGTAATGAAAGAAGTGTAAGATAATAAAAAGGAAGGCATAGTACGGCAACGTAACGTAATGTAAGGGAGGCAGTGTGAGGTAATATAAGGAAGGAATAGTACAGAAATGTAAGGTAATTTATGAAAGGAAATATAAGGCAATGTTAGAAAGGCATAGTACGGAAAAGTAAGGTAATGTAAGCGAGGCAATGTAATGAAGACAAAGCAAGTTAATATAAGAAAGTCATAGTATGGAAATGTAAAATGTAAGTAAGGCAATGTAAGGATGCAATGTAAGGAAAGCAACATAAGGTAATGTTATGTAATGTAAGAAAGGCAATATTAGGAAGGTAATGTTTGCCCATCTAAGGCAATGTAAGGCAGTATAAGGAAGGCAATGAACGGCAATGTAAGGAAGTCAATAAATGGTAATATAAAGAAACGTAAGGTATGCAATATGATGTAATGTAAGGTAATGGGAAAAAAAGGAAGGAAATTAAAGTCAATTTTATTAAGGAGGGCAAATTTAGGTAATGTGTGGAAGGCAATGCAAGGTAATGTAAGAAATAAAATGTAAAAAAGACAATGTAAGTTAATGTAAGGAAGGCAATGTAATGATTTGAAAAGAAGGCAAAATAAGGTATTGTAAGGAAAGCAATTTAAGGTAGTGTAAGGAAGGTAATGTAAGGAAGGTTATATAAGCAAGGCAATGTAAGGAAGGAAATGTAAGGAAGGCAATCTAAGGAACGCAATGTACGGCAATGGAAGGTGATGTAAGTCAATACATATCCACAACACATGACAAAACATATAAAGTTGTTGATTAAAATCAACATCCAAACATAAAAATTTTAACGTTGAAAACTCTGTATAAAGTTTTGTTAATTACTGTTGCCAATTAAAAGAATAATTGTAATACATGTATTCTTGACTTTTGTTTTCAGCAAATGCACAACCAAACGGAATTTTAGATGGTATCAACACTTCCACTTTGATGACTGAAGCTACGATGACACATAAAACAATAAAGATCAGTGAACTTGACTGAAAGAATATAGTTGGTTTAAGGTGGTGTTTAAGCAGTGGTGAGTTACCTTAAAAGTGATAGTAAATTTATTTAACGAAACTATGTAAAATATCGCTCGAGTGTCTCTTGTCTTTTTTACTAAATCGTGTAGTGATTTACATTTTATTTCACGTATCTATATATATATATATAATTCGCCAGCAAAGGTCAAACAAGACGGGTCAAACACCACGCAGGCTATTTATAGATACGCCAGAGTGTGGTTCAATAATGAGTTCACTAGCGCGTAAAATATAAATCACGATAATTACGCTAAATGATATATATATATATATATATATTAAATAACGCAATTTATTTTCGAAAATGAAATCGTCTCAATTTAACTATTGTGTAAAAAATATTCGGTTTAAAACTGGTTGGGACATGAGAATATTAATATAGTTCATGGGCGTGAAATAAAAAGTGTGCAGTGACGTATCATGGGGGAAGGGGTGTAGTAAATATTGGGATTCTTTTAAATGTGCGTTACTTGAGTTCATGTTTTTCAAGTAACTTTACTAGATGGGGCGGTCACGCATTGCTATCTCCAATGTTTGGCGGGCTATATCTAGTATATATATATTCTTTTTCATTTTAATTTGAATACCGCTACAATCTCTTAACAATGTAGTCATATCATTGCATTAGTAAATTGTGTAACAAAAGTTACAAATTATTTGGTAATTTTTAAAAATCGTACAAGTATTTCCTAATGCTTAAGTTTATTTAGTTTGGTGTACAAATGCTAGAAAATTGTAACCTTGTCTTATTAATGCATATGAAATATTTTATAAAAAACTTTATATATATCTATGTGCATACATAATAATAATAATAATAAGTTTATTTGAAAATCAAGCTTCCTCCCCAAAGGCTCGTGAATTTTATACTGGGTTATGTCTTATTTTATTCTAAAGCATTGCTGTTTAGGAAATGTTGAGTTGGCTACTGCTAAGACTAGGCATATCTGCTGCTTTGATATCTACTGTTGATCCCAATTGCGCGGACAATGCACTCAGTTTTAAAGTTAAAGAAACGCACCTTATTTTCGACATCGAGAACGCAAGACAGTAAGTTAATTATTCATTGGTAAAATAAAATGAATTTTTTTAAAATACTTTTCCTAACTTAAAATGTAAATTCATTTTTCTAGGCAATACTGATCTTTGTTTTTAAAGTAATAATTAATGGCTTTTGACAAAGCTACTGTTTTGAATTTCTAATTAATTTGTGAGTTCTTTTTTCTTGCCCTTGCAGATTCCTCAGTTGTCTGTGCATCACTAGTTATGGATGTGAATTTACAGTAAATAATACTTTAAATAAAATTGACATTATATTGGCTAAAACTTTCAATGCAACTGGAGCATCATTAAGCCAAGTATTTAGTTGTAGTTATTCCGTTGACACCATTAGGTGCGAACTCCTTGTTGTGATTCCCGAAGGCCAATGTGTAACTTCATTTAATGAAACTGGGTGCTATCACATACTTAGCACCGTAAACTGCAGTGCTGACAGTATTTCTTTGACATGGAATCATCTTTACACAGTCACCTGTCATACCTTTTATGACAACAGCATGTGTATCAACGATAAAAACATCAATTATACAATTAAAGATTGCGAAAATGGTGCAAGTCATCTATCGACTTTTTCGTCTTTAGACACGGTCACATCATCAGCTAACACCAGAGAAACGTTCATTACAACAGCAAATGTCTCCGGGGTGTATCCCATTAAAGACATTACAGAGAACAACTGGAACACAATCGTAGCTGTAACCGTTTCAGTCGGTGGTCTTCTTTTTATTATATTTTTAATTTTAGCTGTAATTATGTACCGTCGTCGTAGACAAAATGCTAAATCGACGAAGACTGTCTTAGACGCTGTCAAAGAAAACGGTAAAACAAAAACTGATGGCAATGTAGATGCTAATTTTATAAATAACTACACACAGGCAAAGACAACACTGATCGCTGAGCCGTACAATGTCATGCAGCGTAATGAAATTAGCAAGGACGTCGATCCAACAATTGCCAGAACATTCACTTTGCAGAAAACTGGTCATGAAAGTACAAATTATGCTACCGTAGCTAAATCAGATGACAAAAGTGTAAGTGCGAGCACTTTGATCGTACATAGTGAATTGAAAAAATCCAACGAAAATTTACCAATGGAAAAGTCGGGCGAAGAATCGGCGAGTGTTTATTCGAAACTAGGAGAAAAAAACAAAGTAGTAGAAAACATTTATGGTGTTCTGAAAATTCAAAACGATGCAAAAGTGTCAGACCGTATTTCTCCTGCAGCAGACGATCAGATAATCAAACCGTGCAGTCATGAACACATATACTTCGAGCTGGAGAGAGAAAACAGAAACAGTGATTTGTCAATATGTAGTGATCAAAATGTAAAATAAGCTTCGTCTGTCCACGTATTTTCATTCATAATTTTTCTATATTTTAAAAGCAAAATTTTAGTGGGACACTTACTGGTAAAAATATTGAAACTCCTAGAAAAGGTTTATAAATAAAGGAAAATAAATGGAGGATGATAACTGTAGGAATGAGTTCAAACTGTTTAAATGAAATAATACATACAAAACAAAGTTAATATCTGAAAATAGATTGATATAGAGAGAATATATTATTTTAGTGAGTGTTATTAAAAGTCTTAAAAATTTAACTTTGCCCAATTAATAAACAATATTAAGTACAATTCAATACGCTCATATTTCATGTGACTTTGAATAATGTCATCATTGCTTTATTTGTATCAAAGGAAAAAATGTATATATAATATAGAAATAGAAAAATGTCCCTGTGAAAACATAGTTTCTGGGAAATCCCCAGCAGTTAAACTTAATTAAAATGTCCGTACAAATAGTTAGCCATCTGCTGTCCAATGTAAAAAGTTTTAAAATTTGTTTTCCACCTGAAATATATTTAATTCAAACTTGTTCATGTTTAGACAAATGTGGTCAAAGGGCTGATAAATACTATAGAGTATTCTTTTGAATATGTGACGAAGATTGAGCATTGATCATATCAGTTGTTTTTTTTACATTTTTCAAAAACAAAAAAAAAAAAAAAAATAAACCAAATTTTTTTTTATAATATATTTAATTCAAACTTGTTCATGTTTAAAAAAATGTGGTCAAAGGGCTGATAAATACTATAGAGTATTCTTTTGAATATGTAACGAAGATTAAACATTTATAAAATCAGTTGTTTTTTTTACATTTTTCAAAAACAAAAAAAAAAAAAAAAATCAACCACATTTTTTTTTAGAAGTAAAGGACACCGCCATAGAACAATAAAGTAGGTTTAAAACCTTCATCTCACATGATGTCATGCCTATGATTTTTTTGCCATAAGACTATCCTAACATTGTATGCATTGTCACATATAATAAATAATAAATAATTGATTGATATATATAATTTTGTTTAAAAACTTTTAATTCATGTCCCTTTACAATTAAATACTTTGTAAAAAAAACAGTGTCATGTGTTATTGTTAGTCCTGAATTGTAATAGATTTCTCTCTTCTATATACAATCCAAATGTCGTGAGTAATGAATTCGACTTAACCATGAGATTTTAAAACATACATGCTAATGCACACGTATTTAACGGCGAGTGAGGCTATGCGGTCATTTCATCAAGTCTGTGATAGACCATAAAAATGAAACAGTAACTACGGTAGGGGCAAATTTATTGAAAGTCGCAAGTCATCTTTAATGATTTTTAAATGTATAACATACAAAAGTTTCATCTCGTTTTTTAATTCTACCATGATGGAACGCATATTTTCTACAATATACCGTTTACTTGAAATTCTTGTTTAAATGTGTTACTGTAATGGTGTATTTTTTGTTTTACCTTCATCCCCCATCCACAAAATCCACAGCCGCAAGCTCAAGTCAGTTCTCTCCTAGCATCCAAATAATCCTCCTCAATTCTAGTTTTTTTTTTAAATGTTACAATTCTTTTCGGTTTCAACTGTTTTTCAAACCTTCACTAACAGCACTGCCCAGTCCCTTATAAAACTACAATCATAGTTGTTCATCCGCTATTCCCACAATGCCACAACATACATATACATGGACACATAAAAGAAGCTGAGTAGGAAGAGACTTTGTAATCCTGACAATAGGAAATGTAATAAAAGGAAAAGTTTGGCTGAAGCTGGGGTGGAATACGTAAATAGGAGAAATAAGAGTGTACCTGCCAAGAAAAGGCAAAATCTGAAGAACTGTCAAAAAGCTGTTACAGTTTCTTATTACAGATACATTTTTAACACAGAGTTTCATGTCAACTTTCATCTCTAGAAAGGACAGATGTGACCTCTGTGAAAGTAGCTGAAGAACAAATTACGCTAACGGTAATAACAGTGGCAGAAGCAGACAAAGTTGCTACTCACATTGATAACAAAAAAGTAATGAGACTAGCTGCTAGAAATGATCTGAAAGATAACCTTGACGATGTTGTTATTAGCTTAGAGAGTCACAATGTTACTTCCCTTCCCCGGACTGACATCAGATCATTTTGTTTTACAAAAGAGAATTAAATGTTTATATTTTGACTGGATACTCATCTAAAAGAAAACCAGGTTATTGTGTTGTATGGCCAGATATTTTATCTGGTAGATCAGGCTAGGATATAGCTCCAGCTTTTGTTAGAATTGTATAAAGAGTAACAGGATAAGATTTAAAACCATTATAGCATGGAGTGACTCACGTGAACCACATAATAAAAATAGCATACCGGTAATATAATATGCAGTATATCATTTTCCGAACACACATACACACATTGAGTCAGTCACCATAAAATTTAATGTTCCTGGTCGCGATTCTGTTCAAGTTGTTGATAATATGCATTCACATGAAGTGTTTTCGACACCAAGTCTTACTCTTAAGTTTATTAAAACTGTAAACTGGAGATAACTTTATACAATCTTAAAGATGAGGCCTAATGATTTCAAAGAATTTAAAACATGTACTGATCAGTTTCAATACCAGAGTGTAAAATATTACAAAACATGTCGACGTAAATTTACAAATGAGCCATTGGTTGCTTGTAAATTTAGCCATATGGACACAACGTTTGAAAACACCATCATAAGAAAATCTAAAAGCACTACAAGTTGTGTTCCTTTTAAACCAATTTAACAGAAGTATTTTTGTCTCAACCAAAGAAAGCAATCTCATCTCATAAACTTCCTGAAGTCGAGAAATCAGAATTTAGAGATATGCTTAAATTGCCTACTATTGTAGTATGGTAGCTGGTTTTGAATGGAAATAATGCAGAAAGTTCAAGAAGAATTTGTGTGCAAAACATTTCATTGTCTAATGACATTATTCATGTTTGTAATAACAACAACAAAAATAAACAAGAAAATATTTTATATTTTATTTTAAATATAATTGTTAAATGATTTTGGCTTGTTAGTATTTGTGATCTAACTAATGAATATGTATTTATTCTTGAAAGAATCTAATTAAATCATAGTGTTCATAAATTATCTAACTTTGTTATACTAAAGTGAAATAGCATTTTCAATTACAAGGTTATATCACAAATTTAAAAAAAAATTCATGTTAAATCAAAATCATTAACCTAGATGCTGATCATACCTCGTATTGATAACATAGGCATGAAACAACAACCATCGATAGAAACATTTTTAGTTTATACAACCCAAACATCAAAATTTCAAAAAAAAATATTTTGGTTTGACTGAAAAGTTCCATAGAACATTCTAATTCTAGGGAGACGATTGCCGATGACAAAAAATTTTTTAACATTTTTAGCCCTGGCACCCAACCCCCCAACCCCCCCCCCCCCCCCCCCCCATAAAAAAACTAATACAAATCAATATTACCTGTTTTTCAAAGAAAGTTAAGGAACTATTACACATGCTAGTAATGTAAAGGCTGCTCATATTCGTGCAGCTGCAACAATATATCAACAGTGCTCAACCATGAAGATGTTTCAAAAGTTTCCGTTTCCGTTAGTAGCTTTATGAGGCCAGACAGAAACAAATTTTGAAATTACTGCATTCGAAAAAATAATTTATTAGCAGATTGTCCTATGGTCGTTGTTTAATTATGGTAACCTAATTTCTGCTTTCACTGATGGAACACAAACAAAGAAGAAAGGGTTGCTGTTCTAGTTTGTTATTCAACATAGAAATTGTTTTGCAGTTCCAAAGATTGCAAGTGCAACAGAAGAAACTTTTCACAATCTGTATTTAACGCTATCCTCAGTGAAATCTTCAGAATAAAGTGATCACTCTGTTATTTGACCCAACAGTTGCAAAAACAGAACGGCAGAATAGTTTTCGTGGTTTTTATCTTTCTTTGAAACATAGTAATTCTAGAAGTTCTTTCTGGAAATAGCTTCAAATGTTGGCGCTTAAAACTCAAGCAATTGAAATTGTATTAGAAGTGGTAAAAAATGAGTCTGATACTCTACCACAAGTTCACTATCTAGAACTTTTAGAGCTTGGACTTATTTTCTTAGGAAAATCCTTAATTTCGTATAAGATTTCGTGCTCATAATGCACACAGACAATCCTTTTGGATGTCAAAGCTGCTCTATGTGCTGACAATAAAGATGCTCCGAAACCAGTTTCAACTGACAAACAATGAGAAGATGTCTTGTCTTGAATTCAGTGATTTCGTAGTCTTAATATATGTTAAGCACTGGATGATACATACGTCCAAATACTTCTGATGCTCCTTTCAATTTGATATTATCGCTGTAAAATGACGAGACCACTTCAAACGCTGTGTCCAGATAACGTATGAATGAATTGGGTCGTCATTTATGATAGTTGATAAAGGAGTTGGTGTCATAGGCCTTTTTATGGTAGTTTTTGTATGAAATTGGTGTCATTAGCCTTTTTATGGTAGCTGATTGAGGTATTGGTTTCATTAGCCTTTTATGGTGGTTGGGTAAGGAATTGGTGTCATTTGCGTTTATGGTAGTTGGGTGAGGTATTGGTTTCATTAGCCTTTATTAGCCTTTTATGGTAGTTGATAAAGGAGTTGGTGTCATAGGCCTTTTATGGTTGTTGTGTAAGGAATTGGTGTCATTAGCCTTTAATAGTCTTTTATTGTATTTGGATAAGGTATTGGTGTCATTAGACTTTTATGGTAGTTGGATGAGGTATTGGTGTCATTAGCCTTTATGGTAGTTGGATGAGGTTTTGGTGTCATTAGCCTTTGATGGTAGTTGGATGATGTATTGGTGTCATTAGCCTTTCTCCTCAGACAGATTTAAACTTGAAATAAAACTAGAGACGTGCCATAAGAACTGCTTCCAATGAAAAATTTGACCGAGCAACATGATAGAAAGGTAATGATGACATAAAAAAAAGGCATTAAACGTGTCTGCCATCTTCTTCAAACTTGTAACATCTGGAAACCACGTTCTTGCAAGCGACGCATCGCTACTTGGGGAAAATGAGTTTCAATGTGTACAAACACAGACAGTTACTAGATCACTCACAGTTGTAAATGACGGTACTGGGAGCGGTATAGCACATCCAGTATGGGAGTTCATTAAAAATTGTTGTGACTGAATATTATGTTTTATTTAGTCGCGCTGTGTGTTTGAGAGTTTTACGAGTTAGTGAACGCTCTTCCCGCGCTTGACTTGGTGACGTATCTTTATACTCATGACGAATTTTCTAGTCCGTTTTGTGACGAATGTTGTATTCGTCGGGCAGTCGTGAATAGAACTTTGTAAAGGGAACTTGCATTTTATTTATGTCTGATAGCGAGCTGCGCTATAAGCATGGGTTTGTGTAATTTATAGCCTTGTATATAATTAGATATTAAAGTTACATTTATGGTGATAATTGACTTGATTGATTCGATGCTAGTACGCCGTATTACAACGTGTGAAATAACTTGATGGATTAACCAATCTAGTAGAAACAGAATTTCGACATAACTACTTTCAGACATTTCGAAAAAAAGAATGAGGAACAGAAAGAATCTCTCTTTCTCGTTGTTGAGAGTCATCGAAAATGTTAATTAAAACTCGCCAAATTAGTGATTTAATATGTATCAATGAACTTTCTGATCTATCGTGCTTGTATCTGCAGAAATATTGATATAACATTGCATACATGTCTGAGATGATATAATAAACTACTTTTTTTTTTTTTTAAACGGGCTACGCCTTGTAAAATGTTAGGCCCACTGAGGCTGTACTTGAAACTTCACTGATGCATTACTCAGACTTCACTAAGGCAGGACTCAGAAATCACTGAGACAGTACTCAGACCTCACTGAGGCATTACTCAAACATCACTATTGTAGTACTCAGACTTCACTGAGGCAGTACTCAGACTTCACTGAGGCAGTACTCAGACTTCATTAAGGCTGTACTCAGTCTTCGCTGAGGCAGTACTCAGTCTTTGCTGAGGCAGTTCTCAGACTCCACTGAGGCTTTGCT